CCGCCGCCACAATCGGAGTTTAGGGTTTAGGGGTTTAGGGTTTTTAGGGGTTTAGGGTTTAGGGTTTCGGGCTTGACTCGTGGGTTCTTCTGCTTGCCTGTCTCTTTGTTGGTCTCAGTGCGTGAAGATTGCATAGTTGCAAAACAGTATACCCTACGAGCCTATAACATCAGTTCCTTATGCATGTGGGTGCTGGATCGCCTGCGCATTCGCACAGGCTTCTGCGAGTCTTACCTTCCGTTTTGCGCATGTTCATCCGGAGTGTGTGCTTTCTTCGTCTTTGCTTGTCGGTGGGTTCCTAAACAACCGCACCCAAGCTCTTCGATGGCACGACGCAATGAATACCAAAAGCTCTTAATCCCTGAGCCATCTCTCTCCCCCCCCCCNNCCTAAACCCTAAACCCCTAAAGCTCGCTGTAGGCCTTCGAGTCCATGGCGGTGTGGCAGCGCGGCGCGCGGCTTAGTCGGTCCCGGAAGGGGAGCCCCGAGCAGACTTCCGGCCTCCGATTCTACTACACATTAGCGGTTTAGGGTTTAGGGACAATTTTCTGTATTGAAGTGCACCAAAATGCCGAAATGCCGGAGACTTAGTACTCGCTCATGTTACTTCCATGTCATATCCGGAGAAGGCATGGTAATGCATCACTAAAGTCTTATCCCTTGTCATCTGTACTGCACTCTGGTGCAACATCCTTCGAGACCCTCCCGCTCTGCACAAGTCCAAGACTCTAGGACATTTTCAGGTGGGCCCTGTAAAGGAACTCTATTCTGATTATTAAGGCCCCTACATGAAGCTTAAATAAATCTTGAACAGCATGAGCCGTCGGGCACGGACCCTCGCAAGGGATCCAATCACCCTAGGGTTTACGCTTTGGGGTTTAGGGTCTAGGAGTTTAGGGTTTAGGGTTTGGGGTTTAGGGTCTAGGGGTTTAAGGTTTAGGGTTCGGGGGTTAGGGTCTAGGGGTTTAGGGTTTAGGGTCTATAGGGATTTAGGGTTTAGGGTTTAGGGTTCTAATGCGCGCCCAAACTGGGATTGCGTCAAGTAGGCTCCCACGATTAGGATTCGTATGACGACGATCCTAGTGTTTGGGGTTTCGGGCTTAGGGGTTAGAGTTTAGGGTATACCAGTAGTTTGCCTTGTAGTTCCTTTTTTTGTTAAACCGATTTTATAGGCTGTATCCTGTCAGGTAACCCAAAGAAGGAACTATAATGGATCGCCTTGCTGTTTCCCTGAAATCTAAGGACTTTGGGAGGGACCCCTAATAGGGACCCTTAAATAACCATTGCATACTCCTTATATACCCCTTATATAGCCAGGTAGTCCCAGATTAACCCCAATAACCTACAAGGGTCCCTATTAAGGGTCACTCCTCAAGCCCTTAGATGAAACTCATCAGCCCTAAACCCTAAACCCTAAACCCTAAACCCTAAACCCTGTCAAACAATGGGCCTATTTCCCTAACCCGACATGTCTTAGATATAAAATAGTAACCCTATTAGCCATATAANNAAGGGTCCCTATTAAGGGTCACTCCTCAAGCCCTTAGATGAAACTCATCAGCCCTAAACCCTAAACCCTAAACCCTAAACCCTAAACCCTAAACCCTAAACCCTAAACCCTAAACCCTAAACCCTAAACCCTAAACCCTAATCAGTTCGGTGCTTTCTTTGGACCAGGTTTCGGCCTCACTTTCGTGGCCGCCCTTGCGGCCGCGCAGACCTCGTTGCTGCCGACGATGCCGCGCCTTGGTTTGATGGTTTAGGGTTCGGGGTTTGGGTCTAAGGTTTAGGGTTTAGGGTTTAGGGTTGAGGGCCCTAAACCCTGTCAAACAATGGGCCTATTTCCCTAACCCGACATGTCTTAGATATAAAATAGTAACCCTATTAGCCATATAAGGCTTAGAGGTCATTGAAACACCCATAAGTCTTGGAAGCACTATGAAGCTTGAGCCTTAGGGCCGGTCGCAGGTTTTGGGGTTGCGAGTTTCATTTCAGGGTACCTTGGGGTTTCAGGGTTTAATATCCGGGCCTAAATAATTACCAATACGATTTTGGGGGTACCTTATTGTAACTATACTATGAGGGGCCCTACAACCCTTTTCTTATTATTAAAGCCCCTAAAATAGAACCCCATCATAGATCCCTTCTAGAACCCTTTAAGGATCCCTGTAAAGGAGCCCTACTCTAATTATGAAGGTCCCTATATTGGGGGCGTAGGGTTGAGGGTGTTTTTGGGTACCTCAAGGCAATTCCCCTGGATCCTCGACCCGACATGCTAGACATCCGAGTTAAAAAACATCCCTATGAGATCCTCTTGCACCCCTCCAAGCCCTGACAAAGACCCGAGTTATAAAGTCCTAAAACCTAAACCCCAAAACCCTAAAGCCTAAAGCCCTAAACCCTAAACCTTCAAACCCTAGACCCTAAAACTCTACTCGGTATAAGCCCTGAAACCCGAAAACCCTAAAGCCCCAAGCCGTGGTTCCGGCTAGGTGCCTCGGTGCCGAGTTCGTGTCGGTCGCTGGGTTGGCGGCGGTGGAGGCTCTGAAGCAGGACTTTCGCCTTGGAATTTAGGGGTTTAGGGTTGCCAGGGTTTAAAGGGTTTAGGGGTTTAGGGGTTTAGGGTTTAGGGTTTAGGGGTTAGGGCCAGGGTTTAGGGTTTAGGGGTTCAGGGGTTTGAGGTTGAGGGTTGAAGGGTTTAGGGTTTAGGGTTTAGGGGTTTAGGGGTTTAAGGTTGAGGGTTGAGGGGTCTAGGGTTTAGGGCAGTGGGCTTCAGGGGGTTAGGGGGGTAGCTGGAGTCTGTAGGGTTTAGGGTCTAGGGTTTAGGGTTTAGGGTTTAGGGGGCCTAAACCCTAAACCGTGACTCCCAGTTCAGGGATCCATGGTTTTGCCAAGCACCCACTTCAGCAAGATGTTCTCAACTCGATACCACTTGCAGGCTGGGCTGCTTTGAGCCATATGTGCTTAACTTGCAGGGGGGTTTAGACGGAGATGTGTTATACAGCTCTATACGGGGGTGTCTGGGGTTCCAGCAGATTACAGTAATCAGGGTTCCTCAATTGTGATATGGGAGCTTCCGAAAATAGGGGGTACCTTATTCTGGAGTCCTTATAATAAGGATCCTACTATTTGGGGTACTATATTAGGGTACCCTATTTTCGGAAACCCCCATATGGGTGTTACTATCCTGGGTTGATACCAGGGTCCCTCGTTTTTCGAGACTCCATATCTTTGGCATCCATTGCGTCCTCTGGAGCCCCACGGTGCCAAATCGTAGTGGTTTGAGCTTCTTCTTCCCTCGACCCCAAACCCCAGACCTTATATAAACCCCAAGCCCTGAACCCTAAACCCCAATGCCTGATCCCTATAACCCCTACACCCTGAAACCCTAAACCCTAAAACCCTCAACCCTAAACCCTAAACCCTAAACTATAAACTCCCTAAACCTCGCTATAACCCCTACACCCTCAAACCCAAAAGCCCCACACCTCGCATCGGCCCTGCGGTGAGCAGGAGTTCCGCTTCAAGGACTACGAGCACTACAAGACCTAAGAGCCGATTCTGATGTAGAAAAGCCTTAATAAGTAGAACAAGGTTCCTTTAAAGGGTTTCGGTTTAGGGTTTAGGGTTTAGGGTTTAGGGTTTAGGACCTGAGAGCCGATTGTGATGTAGAAAAGCCTTAATCTTAGTTAGCCAATATGAGAACTTTAAACTTTTTGGCTTTATATATTAGGTCTATCCTAAAAAGTTTGAACTTTATTGGGCCTGGGTGTTGAAGAAGAGACTAACATGTAGAACAAGGTTCCTTTAAAGGGTTTAGGGT